AAAAAAAAAAAAAAAAAAAAAAAAAAAAAAAAACCAACAACAACCACGCAGGCTCTGACCTCTGACAGGCCTGTGAGGCGAGTGATGGAGTTAGTCAGGTCGTTCATAAAAATGAAAAATGTCCATTTTGGCGAAATTGCTGTTGACTGGAGCTCGTTGCTTACACGTTGGTGTTTGCGTAATGCTGTTGTTGGGTTCGTTTGGACCTCTCACTGAACTTATCACTGTTATTACTCTGATATAGGTGAATCGCAATGTCCTCGCTTTGGAGGGGGACTTAGATGGACTGCGGAGATCCAACTCTGCTCTCATCGCTGAGCGGGCACAGGCAAGTGTCTCTCCTCTCTCTCTCTCTCTCTCTCTCTGCCTCTTGTGATGCACATTTTTTCTACGTGAAGTATGCTCTGTAAATGTGTCTATCCGTGTGTGTGTTTGTGTTGTCATGTGTGTGTGTGTGTGTGTGTGTGTGTGTGTGTGTGTGTGTGTGATGATGTGTGTGAACACATATTGCGGACACTCCATGCACCATACCATCGCAACACTTCAGGAGGAGACTACGCATCTGAGTGGAGTCGAGTCCAAAGGCAAGGAAGGGAGAACAACAAAACACACAGGCCACAGACAGCAAGACAACACAGGCTGGAGGGCATGGGGGAGGAGGGAGGGAAGACAACACACCAGCAATAGGCACGAGGGATATAGGACGGCAGACAACAACAAGCACAAAAGGCAGGCAAGTCAGAAAAAAATGAAGTCCATAAAAGTTTCAGAGCCTGAAAAAAATAAAAACTGATGATGAAAGATTGTTTCGTCGGAATTGCACTGACTCATCAGGAGGCTGAACCCTCGACAATCTGCGGGAATCTCCGTATTAGATGGTTTGGGTCATGAACCCTTTGACCCTTGTTGAAGGCAGACTGTCCCCAAGTGGAACACAGCAGCGGGCGGCGACCCTGTGGAGCACCAGGCAGCACAGTAGAGGCAACACGGCAGCACAACGCCAAGAAGGCACGGCCAGCCAGTGAGCAGCAAGGCAGCGGAGCAGCGAAGCGCAAGGCAACACCGACAACACAGCCACACTACACAGCGAACACAGCAACTTGCAGAGAACAACATGCAAAGCAAGCGGGACAGGCAGCAAGGCGGCGGTGGTGCGCAGACGAGGCAGTCCACACATCCAACACGGAGCAAAGCAGCACATGACCTACTCACATCATGATCGAACCCTGCAGACTGTTGGTTCCCACCACCCACTGAGCCAGGGAGTCACTCCAACGAGCATCCATCATCACCTACAGGCAACACAGACATCCCGAACTGAGCGGCCCCCATAAGAGTGCAGTAGGCACTCCAAACGAGGAACCACCGACTGTTTGGCACTACTTAAGGGTGCTCAGTTTGGGCCAGCAAAAACACTTAGAAAAGATTAGGGGGAGGACAGACAACAACAGGAAAACAGACAAACATACAACTGATTGTATGTGTGTGTGTGTGTGTGTGTGTGTGTGTGTCCCCAGTTCTGCACCCATTATATCTGAAGCTATCTCTGAACCTATCACGAGTTGCCTCTCCATTCCTTGTTCCTCTTTTGAGGCATCTCGACAGGCTGAGATCATCGGTAGTGTCTAAAAACTTAGTAAAAGGACTGTGAGACTAGAATGAGCTTTGACAATGTGCATGGCATTTTATTGTGAACTTTGGACTCTTTGGAGTTTAAAAGGTAAAATATGGAAACTGCGGTTTCTCCTTGTCCCTTTGATGTATTATTGGGTCAACTGCATCTCGAACGAAAATGAGTTTCGTATTGGAAAAAAAAACATGTACCAGCAGGTCGGTCACACGCCAAGTTGGAAAAAAGGCAACGAAAGAGGCCCAGTACTTTGTAACAGGCGCGCATGTGGTAAAGGCAAGGGCGGGGCATGGTGTGCAGAGGGCGCAAGTTCAAAAAGGCAAAGGAAAAATAAGTTTAAATAAGTTAAAATAACGCTATTTTTTTGCTTTTTTTTGCCCATTCCAGAATCCAAATTCATGCCATGACAAAACTGCTATTTATTGTTTCTGTTGCCCTGTCCAAACTCAAAACCTCATGCGGCTGCAGTTGTTTCAATATCAGTTACTCTCATTTTGTACCAACGAATATGAAGGGACTCATCTTTGTTGGTCCAAAGGCTATAGGACCTCGCATGTTATGCCCTGCTCTCATTTGAATCATCTCCCATCGGCGGCTGAGACTTCATTCCCTGTTGATTCCAATGAAATCACTTGCATTTGGCATATGCTCTGAGTAGAAAAGGGAGAAGTAGGAGGCCAGGAGCTGGAGACCAAAAAGAAAAAGAGAGAGAGAGAGAGAGAGAGAGAGAGAGAGAGAGAGAGAGAGAGAGAGAGAGAGAGAGAGAGAGAGAGAGAGAG